TATTATTTTGCAAAATCCAAATGAAAAAGGACGAAAAATCGAGAAAATATTTGCCAGTAGTTGTAAAAAATCGTGGATAACAGATTTAGAAAACAGCAAAATCGAAATTTTGAAACATGATGGTGAATTAGAAAACCGATTTGAAATTAAGTCTGGTTTCCATCCTTTTGGAATATGCTTGACGAAATCTTGCGAAGCTGTTTGGATTTGCCTTGCAGACAAAGCATCATTTGTTCCCCATATTAAGGGTAAGACAAAGGTGGTAAAAATGACAATAAAGGGTGTCAAAGTATGTGAAATAGAATCTTTTGGTGGACAGAATCTATTTACTTTTCCATATAGGTGTGTTGAAAGTTCTCTGAACGAGGATTTATATGTTGTAGACCGTCAAATTGCAGAAAATAGAGGACAAGTTTTTTTCTTTGATAAAGATTGCAAACCAAAAGGGGGATATACAGGTGGAGAGTTCAACCGAGATTTCGATCCACGTGATATATGCTGCAACTGTAAAGGAGAAATAATCATTGCAGATTTTTCAAACAACGCTATTCATATTTTGTGTCCAGATGGAATTTTGAGAAATCTGCTGAGACTTGGTTTGCGTGATCTTACTGAACCAACTTCAGTTGCCACTGATGTCAATGATAGAATTTGGGTAGGCTATAAAAATGGGGATATAACCATTATCTCCAAATATCAATCAGACTACAATACAAGTAAATATCGTGAATGAATCAATTTTGGTTTTAATTATTTTTATTTTATTTTCTATTTCAAAGGATATTTTCATTTTCATTTTTGTACTTTGATATATCAATGATCTTGAACATTAAATGCAGGATGTTCATTCATTTTTGAAATATTTATTATTTTGATTAATATTGTTTTAAGCATGGTAAAAAAAATAGCCGCTAAATATATAGCTCCTTCTTTGATCAAGTTCATGAAGGGGCAATATTTTAGTTCAAAGCCAAAATGTGTAAAGGACGACATTTGTGCATATTAAAGTGACATAAAGAAATGTCGCGATGAACCAAAAATAAGGCTAGGCTTGCAGGGTACAGTTTTGTCTGCTTGCACGAAACACGAATGATGACCTTACGGCATGTCAACACGAGAAAAAAAACTAACAAACGATTTGAATGAAACAATATTTTACCATGCTTTTAATCAGTCTGACACTTTATCAAATACAAATATATTATTTTATTTTTCTATAAACATTTGTTTTTCTTTCTTTCTTTACGTCTATTTTTATCTTACTTGAAATTTTACAATGTATCAATATCAAAAACAAATATTTATCTTTGATATCGTTATTTTGCTATGTTGCTTTTGTTAAAATAAGCATATGATACTAAGGAGCTAGAGGCTTTGGAATGACAGAATGTGAAACTTGAAACCAACAGCCTGATTTTTTACTAAAACAATGAACGAAAACCTAATATGTTATACAGCAACCTACGACACCTATTGAATTACAAGCTCCTGCTTTTGGAGTGGCACATACATAAAATTGAGGTGTAAAACATTTTTGAGCACTCAAATCTCCCTTGGAAAAGGTCTGTAACAACACAACAATCTGTAAATATCAGTTGGAAACGGGTCGACTAATCAGATTGGCATTATCCATAAAAACAAGATACAGAATATCGATGCAACAGTGCTTTCCTTTACAGAAAGCTAGTTCAAAGCCAAATTTCAACTAATAGACAATCCATGTTCTTCCAGAGTAAAATTTAATTAGCATACCTCAAATGGATTTCGTGTAAAGAAAAACATGACCTTTCTGATGCCAAAGTATAAACAGAGTGTAGTGACATCCTTAACAGTACCAATGTTACTGCAACAGATGAACATTTCGACAATTATTGTCTCTTAAGGTAGATAGGGTGTCTTCCTCCATCTTGGATTTTGTAATACCTGAAAACAATCGGTCTAGATCTTTAATAGAATGTGCAAATTTTGAGAGTAGTAGGTAATTCATGTGTAAGAATTTTCATTTTTAATATAGAAAATGATATGTTTTATCATATTAATTTTATGGTTGTATTTTACAAAAAACAGAAAACTTTTGTTTGATTCAATTTTTTCCAACTTTGCCACATAAGGGGAGGCAACTCAAATGTAAGGGCAGATAATTCAGATAAAGGTATTTTTAGGAATTTACCTATTTTATCATGTAGCAAGAAAACGGGTCCGGTGACCCCATTTTTTCTTTTTCTTATCTGAAAACATACTATTAAAGCTATCTTCTCATATTTTATCTCAAAATTCTATGGTGTAGTTTTCGTTTTATGGCAGAAAATTGGGTTTTCCATGCATAATCTATACAAAATCTGTTAATTTTGAACAACCTGTAGCGTGAAAATAAGCCCCGTGACCCATTCTTTTTATCATTTTTTTTTAAAAAGCTTGATATAAACTACATTTTGGCAAATTATTAAAAAATTCTATGGATTATAATTTAGACACCCCATCTACCTTAAGTGATGCTCGAGGCAAAATATTTGAAAGTATAAAACCTAATACAAACATTGAAAAACTAATAAAATCAAAATCAAATAAGATCAATAGTAAAGCCAAACCTGGGCAAGAAGTCAGATCTATGCATGAGGGATACATTCCTTTTTCTTAAATGATTTTAAAATTTTATAACAGCACATTTCAATAAAAGAACAGAGTTCCAATGTACCCCGCTTTACATTTTTAAGGCAATTACTGATCATATAATATTTCCAATGAGCATAACTGTTTTTAAAATTGTTGATCGGCACGGATTTTTGAACTTGGCCAAGACAACGCCGATATAAACCTATGATATAAGTTTTATAAAAATTTTGCAAGAGTTGTACACGTGAGAGCGCTAACAAGACTGGTATTTCTATGTTTCTCCGCAACCCGTTGCCCGGTTGAAAATAAAACGAATTGCTTATTTTCATGACAGTATCGAAGTACTGGTAGCTGGGCTGGTGGTACTTTCGGGGACTAAGAGTTCACCAGCAGTGGTAGGTATCAACACAGTGGTAGCAATTATTATTTAACATTTACATTACCGATGTACCAGCACCAAACGTCCATTTTGACAATAAATGTCTCTTCAGTGATGTTCGAATACGGAATTAAGAGTCCAAAATCTAATACAAAAGATTGAAGAGCTAATAAAACAAAAAGGACAAGAAATCCGAGATGTGCAGGAGGGAAATATATTCCTTGATATTGGCATTTGCATGCCAGTACCTAACTACAGGCTACTAGGCTTGTGCCACGCTCGGGAATTAAAGGTTTACCAGCAGAAATATCTACTAAATGATATCAAAAACATTTACAGTACCTATTTGACTGAATTAGATACAGAATTAGATGAGTGAGGTTTCTTCAGTGATGCAAGAGTCGAAAACTTAAAAGAGCTGATTAAACCCCCAAAAAACAAGAATATGAACCCTGCTTTGTACTAGTCTAACATGCTGTGGCAGATTTTTAATGAGCTATTTCACAAGTTAACAGTCCATAGGAAAACATGTCATGAGACTATTGAAGTTGTTCCATGTTGCTGGAAAAAAAATTTGGGTCCTGTAATTTAGACAAAAATGCATACACTGAAATGTCTCGCCTTCTTTACTAATCATTGATATTATCTTGATAGTTCTAAATATAAAGCTTTACTACAACTATCACAGAAACTTAACATGATCCAAGAAATAGAGGTCAAGGTCATATAAACCAAACAAGAAATACATGTTCACCTTACAATCATTCAATACACTAAATATAGTTGACCTATTGCTTATAGTTTCTAAGATACAGACTTAACCAAGAAAACTAAACATTGACTAATGAACCATGAAAATGAGGTCAAGGTCAGATGAACCATGCCAGGCAGACATGTACAGCTTGCAATCCTTCCATACAACAAATATAGTTGACCTATTGCTTATAGTAATAGAAAAACAGACCAAAACACAAAAACTTAACAATGAGCTATGAACCGTGAAAATGAGGTCAAGGTCAAATGAAACCGGCCAGATTGACATGTACATCATAAAATATTTCCATACACCAAATATAGTTGACCTATTGCATATAGTATTAGAAAAAAAGACCAAAACTCAAAAATTGAACATTGACCACTGAACCATGAAAATGAGGTCAAGGTCAGAAGACACCTGCCAGTTAGACATGTACACCTTACAATCATTCCATACACCTAATATAGCAGACCTATTGCATACAGTATAAGAAAAACAGACCAAAACACAAAAACTTAACTATAACCACTGAACCATGAAAATGAGGTCAAGGTCAGATGACACCTGCCAGTTGGACATGTACACCTTACAGTCCTTCCATACACCGAATATGCTAGACCTATTGCTTCTAGTATCTGAGATATGGACTTGACCACCAAAACTTAACCTTGTTCACTGATCCAAGTGAAAACTGTCTGACGGGCATCAGGACCTTGCAAGGTACGCCAAATATAGTTATCCTATTACTCATAATAAGAGAGAAATTAACATTTCAAAAAATCTTAACTTTTTTTTCAAGTAGTCACTGAACCATGAAAATGATGTCATGGACAATGGACATGTGACAGACGGAAACTTCGTAATATAAGGCATCTATATACAAAGTATGAAGCATCCAGGTCTTCCACCTTCTAAAATACAAAGCTTTTAAGAAGTTAGCTAACGCCGCAGCCTCCGCCGGATCACTATCCCTATGTCGAGCTTTCTGCTACAAAAGTCGCAGACTCGACAAAAAACCATTACAACCAAATCCCTGCATCAAAATATCCTAAAGATCTTGCCTGCATCAGATTTTCCTGCAAGGGCTACATCTAAAGGAATATTTCTGTCAAACAGATTGAAATGGAAGCAACTAAACGTATTTCTTTGATGCATTTTTTTTTTTTTATGCTTTGCCAAAAGTTTAATATCTTTACTGACTACTCAGCCAGACATAGCGAGACTGGAAAGAAGGTGAAATAACTAAAAGCATTTACTTTAACTACTAAATTTATTAACAAAGAAATAATTAATAATAGCTACTAACAAAGAATGAGAGGATAATACTACTAATCTGAGAGATCACAGAATATGTATAAATATAGAATATCAAATACAATGGAATATCATAAACAATATTATATATTAGGAATATCTGAACCAATTGTCTCTTCTTGATAAATACATCAAAAAGTGATGAAAGGTAAAAATAATATTTGGCAAAGGCTTAACAGTTTACTAAAAATGTTTCATACTGTCCAAACAAAGGTAGGGTTTATACTACTATATAAATGCAGTATTAAGGATGACACATTAGGAATGTAATAAAATCAACACAGATTGAATGATTGGTTGGTTGCTGCTTAACGCCCCCTCAGTAAAAAAAGGCTATATTGCAACAATAAACAAATCCATAAAGAAGAAGATACACAGCACAGAAAAAATACAATGATATGCACATAACTGCTTTTTGAGATTGAGTGATGATCCTAACAATATCTATGTAATCTTATCATGATTTAAAATAACGAACTTTGTCAATTAAATTTTGTCTCAAAAAGGAAATACCATGAATATAATTAAGAAATTTTGTGTATGATTTGTCAAATGCAGATTATGTGGTAATGATTAACAATTGCTGCACACTTTTTTCTCTTATAAAAGCAAGAAAAAAAGAGATAAAAATCATTAACTTATATATATGCATGATGGAATAAAAGAAGTTGTAGGGTGTAAATCATTAACATAGCAACCCATCAATACAACAAAACCATAAAAGGATAAGGAATTGTGATTGTGAAGTCTTATGACAACGTGGTCTTTCAACTTTGTATTTTTGAATTATTTCTCTGGTCATGTTTATATAAATTTGGCAATTTTGTGATACTTTTCAAAATGTATAAATGCATTGCAGATTTGTATAAAAATAAACCTGAGAACTTTTTTATTTTACAAAAAACATACAACATATATAATACATTTGTTGAATTTGAGTAAAAACTTCAACAATACAATCAAGAGTCAATTATTTCAGAATTATCTTCATGAACATTACTACAATAACCAAGAACATTTGTGACTTCTATAAACCAACTAATTTTTTCAGAGACATTATTTTTTGTATTTGTAAACTTTCTTATTGATTGTACGACAATTTATCCTTGTCATTTTTTTTTAGCTATTTTTGGTGTATTATATAAGACAAGACCCAAGTTTGACAGTCATGATGAACCACATACATATTATTTTCAAAAAGTTCACAAAATAAATTGCTTGCAAAAATTAGTTGGTTTACAATATATTACAAAATAAATACATATCATTACTGGCACAAATACTACTACATGAAAGTTATTATTGGTAGACTTTGCAATTCAGTTCAACTATGAATCAGTTACAAATATTTTTTTCTTGACCTCACTAAAAGCTTATCTTCTAACATTAAAGTTGGTACATACAAACTTCAGTATATCTCTTGCGCATATATGTTGAAAAAACAAAATGCTGTAAAATATATTTATTTTCTCAGCATCCAATTTTAACAAATAGGTTAGTATTATTTTTCATTTTAGTAGTTTTATATAAATATATCAATAGGTTTTTTACTTTTAAAGCACTTATTAGATAGTACTATTATTCTGGCTTCTGAAGTAGTAATTATAATCAAAATATGGCAACTCAACACTACTAGACTTAACCCAGCATTATAAATTGCTGCCTTTCACTGCCGGCCAGTCATACATCTGTGGAATGAAGCTTTCATAATCTGTACTGTATTGGTATGCCCTAATGGATTTATCAATATCTTCAGGTTCTGGGTACTTCAGGGCCAGACCATTTTTGTAAGCATACTGTGTCAGTCCTACTGCTAGCTTTGTAGAAACTTCTCTAATCTTAGATAATGGAGGATACACTCTTCCTTGAGCAAGTTCTTCTTCTTTAACCATTTCTGACAACATCTGTAATACACAATATGTTATTTTGAACTAAAAAGTGGAAACTAGTTGGTACATAGAAATAAACTAGATGTGTCAGAACGACACGAATGGCCATTGTTTTGAACTAAAAATGGCTGTTGTGAATTATTTAAGTTTCAGTTCAGTCTATTTTATACTCTTTTATCTGGTTAACATTTTAGCACCATTTTTATGTAACAATAGGCCCGCAACGTCGTCAAGTCTCTGCATTAGCAATGACTCCAACTAAAGCATACAAAACTTAGAAGACATTCTTGAGTTTATAGCCATTACTCACCTTTTAGGCGTGGGGAATGAAAGTCCGTATAACTGTTATTTTCATAAAATTTTCCAAGTTTAAAGCCTGTAATTTCAGCAAAAATCAATGGAGCAGAACCAAACGTAGACTCGATCTATAACTCATAATAGTAGACTTACATACTAAAAATCAGCTCAATATGTGAAAATGTTTAGAAAAAGAGTCTGTATAACTGCTATTTTCATGAAATATTGAAAGTCCAAAGCCTGTAGTTTTAGCAAAAATCAATGGAGCAGAACCAAACGTAAACTCATCATAGTACACTAATATACTAAATATCAGCTCAATATGTGAAGGTGTTAGAAAAAAGTCTGTATAACTGTTATCTTAACAAAATTTTCAAAGTCCAAAGTCTGTTATTTCAGCAAAAATCAATGGAGCGGAACCAATTGTAAACTCGATCTGTAACTCATCATAGTAGACTCACATACTAAAAATCAGCTCAGGGCTATTCCATTAAAATGTATGTGGGAGGGTAGGAAGTGAAGTTTAATTATTGAATGTGGGTCATGGGTCTTTTTTCAGTATGCGTCTATTACCATTATGCAAAATAATCTAAAAAATGGTTCTTGGTTGTAGGGATATTTTTAAAGTCCCTTCCTACCCTCCCACATACATGTTAATGGAATAGCCCTCAATATGTGAAGGCATTTAGAACAAAGGTCTGTATAACTGTTATTTTCACAAAATTTTCAAAGTCCAAAGCCCGTAATTATGGCAAAAATCAGTGGAGCAGAACCAAACATAAACTCAATCTGTAACTCATCATAGAAGACTCACATTCTAAAATTCAGCTCAATATATGAAAGCGTTTAGAAAAAAAGACAGTATAACTGTTTGTTGGGGAATGACGGAATGACGGATAAGGGTAAAACTTTGTTGTGGGGCCATAAAAATCTGAAAAACTGAAAGAAGCAGGATTAAGAAATCTGAAACAATCAAAGACCGTGCTAATTTTCGAGAACTGCAATCTACTATTTTTGTTTTCTTTTTTTTTCACATGTTTAACATTTATTTGGGTTAAAACATGTTCAAGAATACCTGACAAAGTGTCAGGAACGTTGTCTAATCAAGAAGGCTGGTGAGAAATATCTCATTTCAAAGAAGCCCTTTGACAGTCAATTCACTACCGGGTCACATGTCTTTACCAAACACCTGGAAAATGTGTTTGTCAGTGGTCATCAGTGGCTAAGTGGTCAAAGTTGTTCATCTAGTTATCACTGGCTCCAGGTACCCTGGCTTACTCCACCAATAAAAATTGACCACTATGAAATAGCCAAAGTGCTGAAAGTGGCATTAAACACCAACACAATCAATCAAATTAAAAATTGGCAAATGTGTTTAGCATACCTTGATGGGTTAAAATCAAATAACATTCTTACCAACTGGGAAGTAAAGAATCAAAGATATTGTATATATGTAGATCATAGCTCTACTGGAGTTATTTTCATTGCAAAAGTTGAATTCAATTACGATAAAAGCAGCTGTATTGCACTTGTTTTACAAGTTTGTGAATGATAAAGGCAGTCTTTATATATGCTAAAATGTAATTATTTGTATAAAACAATTTAGAAGAGAGATTGACAAATGTCATACACATTAATGGCAAAATTTTCCAGGTTCTAGCAAATATAGCATCTAGTTTCAAGTGGTAAATTGTTTTAGGTCTAAAAGATCATTAGGATACATTACTGTAAACATTTTCGAGCAAAAATTATTTTAACCATAAAATTTTACAAGAATCGTATTAGAATATCTATATTATGATTAAAAACTCCATGATCCCCTATATCAATCTCTGCATAAATCCTTTACATATATTATCTATTAATGAAGTCAAGCTACAGATTTTTTCACTAGACAGTACCATGATGATTTTGGTGGCTGCAAACCAAAAAATATAACACAATGCATCATAAAAATGGCAATGCTCACCTCTGCTGACTTTAGAAATATTTCCTCTGTAACTTTTCTGATGTCACTAAGAATGATAGCTAATGCCAATCCAGGGAATATATAAGCATTATTTCCTTGCCCTGGAACATGAGTTTTACCATTCATTGTTACAGCGTTGAATGGACTTCCACTGGCAAAAACACATCTTCCCTGAAATATAACAATCAATTAGTTGAACCATGCCATGTATTAATGTACTCTTTGGAAGTCAGGAATCTTGTCAGAGATTACTGCTGTCAATTTATGTTTTATGAATCGATAAAAACCTGTAAAAAATAAAAGAAGAATGTGTCTGAGGACACAAATGCCCCCCCCTCAAGCTTGTTTTTCAAATGAAAATGGGACAGAAGAAAAGACGGAAGGATGGATCGTCAAGGGTAACACTTAATGACCCCTTCGCCTTGCGGCTGGGGCATAAAAAAAAACAACCAACAAATAAGCAAATGACCAAATAAAATAAACACTAAATACAGCAACTAAATAATACAGCTTAGCATCCCAAGTTCAAGTCAAAGTTGAAAGAATTCCGCAAAATTTGGATAATCTTAAGTGAAATGAAGATCATAGAATATTATCTTTTAAATTTCTAAGTTTTCCAAAATATCGATAATCTAAACTGAAAGGAAGATTTAAGAATATTCTTTAATTTCTAAGTTTTCCAAAATATGGATAATCCAAAGTGAAAGGAAGATCCAAGAATATTCTTTTTAGGGTTCTCTGAAGTTCAAAATTAGGATGATCCACAGTGAAATCAGGATCCAAGAATATTATTCATTATAGATCTAAAAACTTCAATAGACCAAATGGGTCCAATATACTGGTGTGCAGCTTATATTTGCCTATAGCTAAAAAAAATAATTACCCATTTCATGTGATGATTTTTGACATCATCTTATTTTAATAAAATATTCTTAAATGTATATTCTGTAAATTAATTTAATTCCAAAAATACTTTATTTTAAGTTTCGTCCTTTCTAGGCAACTTTGTGGTGATTTTTTTTGGACAAATTTCAACTTTTCTTGTATTTATTTTGGTAAAAAAAACTAAAAATAACATATATTTGCAAATTCAACTCACTTGCAAATCATGTTGATGTACAGTATTTAGTCATGTGACTTAATATAATAACACAGTTGCAAATATATTCAAAATATATTCTAGTTTGCAAAGGTCACTATAAGTACAAAGCATTCAGCATACCGGGGTATATACTGTAAATTCAGAAATTATTGCGAGGTTTTTATTAATGTGAATAATGCGACTGGGTAGGTATCGCAATAATAAGAACTCGCATTCTGATATATGATACATATATCTGTATTAAGATTTTCCAGAAATCGCAAAAATTAATGTCGCATTTCTGTCCATTCTTCAAAAAATCTCAATAATAAATGCACACAATAATTTCTGAACTTACAGTACATACACTTGCCATTTTTTGAAATTATTGCCTCCAAATGAGCCCAAAATTTTATTGTCATTCTTTAAATCAAATTTGTGATTTACCATCAGCATCAAATGGAGTAAAAAAAATTATGGTTAAGATCATTTTGACAAAATAAATTACTGTCATTAGTCATGTGAGGTACCCCATTCCTACCCTCTAAATCAATAACTACTCACTTGCGTAGCGGTATAAGCCTGTTCTGCAGTACATTCAGCTTTACTGGTAGGATTACTGAGGGCAAAGATGATAGGTTTGTCATTGACCTCTCCCATATATTTTAATATTTCTTCTGTGAATGCACCTGTAACTGCTGCAGCCCCTGTAAAGATTATCGTAGGAATACAGTAGATTATGAAATCAATGTTTGAAATTATTTTGTTTGACTACTGTAAACATGGACAATTATGCACTGGGTTATTTTAGGATAATTCGAAAAAAAATCCTGTTTTCCGTATATATTACTTATAAATGGACTTAGTTTTATTCCAGTTAATATTACGTACAGTCTGCAGTTAAAGTTTTTAAAACATTTATTAGATTCATAAAAACCTTCTTGGATTTTTACCAAACTTGAACAGAACTTCTTACAATCAAAAGATAGTATCTAGAGGAAAATTTTTAATAATTTTTTCCCCGTTTTTGTTGAGCCTGCGACTAACAGCAAAAGCAGGCGAGACACTGGGTTCCGAGGAACCCTTACGAATTTTTTAGATATGTTATTAAAATTCCAAAGTAGATCTTTCAATTTTTGAGAATGTTAATCTGATCAATTCTATTGCAAGCAGACAGATTATAATGACTTACCTATAATAGCTGTAGGTTTTACTGTTTTAATGACTTACCTATAATAGCTGTAGGTTTGACTGTTTTAATGACTTACCTATAATAGCTGTAGGTTTGACTGTTTTAATGACTTACCTATAATTGCTGTAGGTTTGACTGTTTTAATGACTTACCTATAATTGCTGTAGGTTTTACTGTTTTAATGACTTACCTATAATAGCTGTAGGTTTTACTGTTTTAATGACTTACCTATAATTGCTGTAGGTTTTACTGTTTTAATTACTTCTGTTAATGTACTGACAGGTTTAAAGTCTCGGGCAAATAATTCTTTATGTCCAGTTACACCACCTGCAGGTCGACCCTGTAATTGTATTGTAAAAAACTTAAAAGTACTGTAGATGTATTATTATTTTCATAGGCTTGTAAGCAAAATTTGGCAAAATAACTAAAACAAAAAACAAACATTTTTTTTCTCTTAATCCACAAAAACAGATACATATATATAAACAAAGATGTTGCAGTATTGTTGCCAATGAGACAACTACAACTAGAGACCAAAAAACAAAGATGTGAACAATCACATTTCACAAGATGACCACATTTCACATCAGGTGGAACCACTTAAATGTCAACTTATGATTGCAAGAAATTATTATAGGAATCTTATTTTAATATGAAGATTACTCCTTTGATAAAAACCTTTTAACAATCTCAATTCTTCAAATGTTTCAGTTTATTTAACATTGGGCAATGATATCAATGAAGCTTAGTTGTGTTCTTATTAAATAAACTTATCACAATTTGTTGAATAAATTGATTAAGGCATATTATATAAGATATTTTCATTGTTAAAGGGAGATAACATCAACATTATTTTTAAATAGAGTATTATGATTTGGTGTTTGTATACAGTAGTTCCAATGATAAATGTTCCAATAATTTTGCCAAATATTATCAACTGGTGAAAATATAATTTGTTCAAGCTTCAAGTTCACCTTTTGAAGGACCACTTTTCTGCCATTGGGAAAAGTCCATTCAAAGTGATATGGAATCATGAAATAAAACTTTTTGGAGGAATAACAAATTTTTGTTTTTTTTAGTATTACTAAAAATATTGATTAATTAAAGAACATTTGTGAGCATACTCACATACCCCACATCCCCCACATTGTCACTGGGCAAACAAAATCCTAAGTTCAAAAACTCATAACTCCTTCAAAAGTCAACTGATAAAAATTTCTTGTGGATATGCACATCTACATATGATATCCTTATTATCTACAAAGTTTCATAAAATTATGTTGTGTGGTTTCAGAGGAGTTGCACTGACAAACAGTAGTATATTTAGGCAAAAATTCTTAGTTCAAAAAGGCATAACTCCTAGAAAAATTATTGAATCATTATTTCCTGTTGCTATACACATCTACATACTATGTGCCTATTATCTACAAAGTTTCATGAAATTCTGTTGTGTGGTTTCAGAGGAGTTGCAATGACAAACTGTTGCAGTAGTATATTTAGGCAAAAATTCTAAGTTCAAAGGGGCATAACTCCTAAAGAAATTATTGAATCATAATTTCCTGTTGCTTTACACATCTACATACTATGTCCCTATTATCTACAAAGTTTCATGAAATTCTGTTGTGTGGTTTCAAAAGAACAGGACTGAAATATGAACGGACGGATGGACTGACTGACGGACAGACAGACAGATGGGTCAAAAACATTATACCCTACGGAACTTTGTTTTGTAGGGTATAATTAATTGATAACTATTTGCATAACACCCTCAAAAAGATTGAAAACTGACATCAAATTATTTGACTATCAAAAAATATAGGTGTTCAAAATGTTTAAATTATTTTACAAACTAGAGGCTCTAAAGAGCCTGTGTCGCTCACCTTGGTCTATGTGCATATTAAACAATGGACACAGATGGATTCATGACAAAATTGTGTTTTGGTGATGGTGATGTGTTTGTAGATCTTACTTTACTGAACATTCTTGCTCCTTACTATTATCTCTATCTATAATGAACTTGGCCCAGTAGTTACAGTGGAAAATATTTTGTAAAAATTTACAAAAATTTACAAAATTTATGAAAATTGTAAAAAATTTACTATAAAGGGCAATAACTCCTTAAGGGGTCAATTGACAATTTTGGTCATGTTGACTTATTTGTAGATCTAACTTTTCTGTACATTATTGCTGTTTACAGTTTATCTCTATCTATAATAATATTCAAGATAATAACCAAAAGCTGCAAAATTTTCTTAAAATTACCAATTCAGGGGCAGCAACCCAACAACATGTTGCCTGATTGGTCTGACAATTTCAGGGCAGATAGATCTTGACCTGATAAACAATTTTACCCCATGTCAGATTTGCTCTAAATGCTTTGGTTTCAGAGATATAAGCCAAAATCTACATTTTACCCCTATGTTCTATTTTTAGCCATGGCGGCCATCTTGGTTGGTTGGCGGGGTCATCGGACACATTTTTTAAACTACATACCCCAATGATGATTGTGGCCAAGTTTGGTCAAATTTGGCCCAGTAGTTTCAGAGGAGAAGATTTTTGTAAAAGTTTACGGACGACGGACGACGGACGAAGGACGCAAAGTGATGAGAAAAGCTCACTTGACCTTTCAGGTCAGGTGAGCTAAAAATGAAGCTGAATAATAGAGGAATTAGTTTTCCTTGAATTATTCAGATCAACCTATATTTATTTTACAGGTATGACTTCATTTTTTACATATATATATAAAAAGACCAGGTACTAAGAGGTCAACCTCATTCTTATCATCAAAGATAAGAAATTAAAGGTGTTGTCTATCAAACAATTCTAGAACTTTAAACTGCTTACTTTTACAATCAAGCCTTTAGAATCTACCATCCATATTTTTTTCAAACCCTCCTCCTCAGATATCCCTTTAGCTTTCATTGCCATCAGTAATAAATGGGCTATTCCTAAAGATGCCTGAAAAAAAAAGACGATGAATCAAATATTGAAATGAACATATAACAAATACATTTCTGGACAAGAAATCAGCTAGAAAATGAAGAAACTGATGGATGGATGGACAGACAGGAAAAAATAATGCCCCTGGACTATTGTAGGGGGAGGGGCAAAAAACTACATATTAAATACATTGTAAAACAAATTTTCAATGTGATTAGATATATCTGTGCTTCAAAGATTTCTCTGGTATACATGAATGCACTTCACATACAGGGATCAAGAAAAATTGAAAACTAAAATGTTCAATGCATTTTGTGGTGTTGTGTAGTGTAGGCAATAAAAGAAATTTTATAGTTTTATGAAATAATTTCAAATACAATTAATATTAAAGACATTCAAGAGCTGTAATAAACAGAAAAATTCTGAAAACTTCATTTTACCCTACCTTAATTATAAATAGACTCAAATATGGGGCTAGGAGCTTAAGAAAGACAATTAAATAATTATTGACACTGTCAAAGTTGATAATAAGCTTATTTATATATTGTGATAAATTTTGAATATGTTTTCTGTGTATTTACCACATGATATCAGCAGAGGTTAAGTTTCAAAAAATGGTATTTCTTTCCAGGCTCATAATTGCTACTAATGGTTTATAATAAATTTTAATGGACATACACATGTTCATTTACAAATTTACCACCACTATAATTAGTTCAACATAAAAGAAGAATAAAAATATTCTAGTTACCTCCCCTGCCCCTTGGAATACAAATACATTATCTTTAAGTGGTTTCTTGGTGATTTTGATGGATGCCAGGATACCTGCCACTGCTACTGATGCTGTTCCTGTAAAATAAAATATATTATTTTATTCTAAAAATTCAAATATCATCTGAATTCAATGGGAAATAAATCTGCAATCAAATTTCTAATATGTACTGTAAACTTGGATATTTTTGCGGATTGTGTTAAATGGATAATTTTTTGCCACTGGCGATAAATTTGAGTGTTACAATAAGTTTACCCTTTACATTCATATTTTTGCTTTCTTCAAACCATTTACATGAGGGATATCTTTTTAGCATTTTATGTGATCCAAGAAATAAAAAAATAAAAATTTGGTCGGAATGTTGTTTCTTTGACACATTCCCCATTTCTATTCTCTATTCTATGAAATATTTCTCAGGACTAATCTCTGATAACATCACATATATTGGAAGCTATCATTAAGAATCTTATTTCTTGAAGGAACTAAAATGTAATGCAGCAAACTTCTATGATTGTTAGTTTGACAAAAATTAGTCTGACAAATGTTTCCTTAAAAGTGCAGAACCTGACAAATAAAAATTCAGGTTTCAAACCAGTCCCATTGTTAAAAAATCAAAATCCTTAAAACTTGACACTTTGTTAGTAAAATCTCTGCTTTCTTTGAGATAATCCAGAACATATATATTGACGGGACTTGACACTACCTAATAATAGCCAATTTTATCGTCTGGTAATAGTTAATAAATGACAAGATACGGAAACGGACATGTGTAAATTACGTACTCGCTATTATCTTAATAATTTCTGATAATATCAATAAAATGTCATTCAAACTAAGTAATAAGTGATGCCAGTGTATCGAACTTGTAATCTGTCATTTCAAATTTGTCATAGCTACATTCATTTTATCACAGAAGGGTACAGAATACAAATGGGGAAATAAAAAAATGGCGCCGATGGCATTCCCAGTTACCGCAAATTTCACAAACTATTAACAGTGTTCTCCCCAGGATTTTTTTAAGGCGCAAAATTCAAGGGCGCGTAACTCTTTTTTTAGAGTGAACGTTTGTGATCTGAAGCAATAAGTCATAAATCATGACATGCAATATGAATTATAATGCTTTGTGTTATGTGTTTAATAATGCAGAGTATTAATGAATTACAAGAATATATATATGAAATAAATTGATTTTAAACACAAAAGTTATTTATATTCAATCAATTAAAGAAGTCAAAATATAAATATTCATCTCTACTCTCTGCTCCTTCTAGGGATATTGTTTCAAGATAGTGTTATTTTGTTGGACAGTCTGTTCCTCAACTTTGTCTTTATCCTCTTCAGGGTTAAAAATTAAACCCCCACTCACAATAACTTTTGATTATACCCCCTTTAACATTTCTAAGCCATGAAAACTCAGTCAGCCACTTGTCATTGAAACCAGAAACATGGTGCTTGCTTTTATCAATTGCTAAAACTTGAGCTTGGTTGGGATTAGGAAAAGCAATGAAATCTGCTTATACAGACAGTGTAGACAGAGGTGTATTCCCCTTTTCATTAGAAGTCATTGGTGTGAAAAAAACTTCTACTTCCATCATCTACCTTTTGCTTATAATTCACCCCTTTGTTATTTGCAGAGAACATGTTCATTCAGAGTTAATAAAATCGAATATGGTTAATATATTTGGTATACAACTTTTTAAAACAATTTTTTTTTATAAATGAACAGCTGACCAGTTTCCGTAGTTTCACATTACGCTTCGGTGCATATTATTGTTTAATCCTATCTTTGGCAGATAGATATAAACGAAACTTTACAAATTCGTTAAAGTTAAAACCATTGAAATTATTTACCCAGTGACATTATACAGAAGCTGCGGCGATTCTGTACCCGTGTTGATTGTCACATATTTCCCGACGCACGGATTCACGATCGATGTTCAATGATCATTTTATTTCTAAAAATATGACAGTTTCAGACGAATTTACCTTGCAAGCAACATTTTTTCACTTTCTATTAAAGTAAATCACTCCTCGTTATCTTTAATCAAACTTCATTTTAATTGTTTCAACTACTAATACTTTCATTCATAGTTTTCATAGTAAATATCTTTAGCAATGTGTATACAAATTTATCATGTGTATTCAACATGTTCATTGGTCGTGTTTAAATAGATTCTTCTTCTCGACCAATGAAAAAAATCGTTATATAAATGGTCAAGTGATCACACGCACGATGCGTAAATACAATGTATTTGCGATTTATTTCTTCAATTTCTGCACTAAAGTTTTAAAATTTTTTAATTTTCTTCAAAAAATATCTATCTTCTTGATGATCATTTACGCTATTACCTGATAACATAGTCCGATAAGGCTGAGATAAGCGTGGCTCAGGTAAAACTAATTATCAGTTATTGCGTAACACTGACCGACCCATCAGCGGTGATCAGTAACTTGACAATTTTAACCAACATTTATAATGAAAATGTGAAAATTAACACGCTGCAGGATCAAGTATTAAGGGACAGCAGCCAATTAAGACGCTGCGGGATCTACAAAAATATTATGAAGGCGCTGCGGCACCGCAGCGTCATATCGGCCTGGGGAGAACACTGATTATGAAACACTCCACATCAAATAAATCCCACTTATATCGGTCATTTTATATGACAAAATATATCTACTTTACGATAAAACTTATCAATTCATTGTATTTGTTGAACGTTTGGAATTATGCGAAAAATTTATTGAGCAGTTCAATCAGACGCTTCCAAAATCCATAAATCTCGCGAAGTCTTGTAAAGTTTGAGATTTTATCAATTCTTTACTGAAAAGCCTATCAGCTTCATTTCCCATTAGATATAGTGTTCCCAGGATAATCCAACTCCTAGGAAGATAAAAATGAAAAATGTTGCATATTTAGTAGTATGGTCATTCATATTAGATAATGCTTTTATTTGGGAATTGTTGCAAATGTAGTAGCATTAGCCAGATTGATAGTAATTTGACTTACCTTGAATATCATCATTGAATGTACAAAAGTCATGCCTGTATTTTTCAAGGAACCTAAAAGCATTATGATTGCCAAAATCTTCAAATTGAACCAAAACATCTCTTCCAAATCTGAAAAATAAATTATACAAATTCTTTAAACAAGTAACAAAGGTCAAACTTGTAAAAAAGAATCAGAAATTGTAAAAAAAAAAAATACATCTGTCTTATAATCATCATAAAGGGGCATTAGCTACGATATATAAAAAAAATATGATTTTTGTTTTTTTTCAATCATTAATGAAAGTGAAATAGTGAAATAATAATTCGCTTTTAACAACCAGTTTGGTTCAATTTTGTCAAAATAAGCAAAGAAACATCACTAATGAATTATTTACTTGCAAGTGAATAATTCGATCTCATTGAAACAGTATTCATGTGAACTTTAATTGATCCCTATAGCTAGAGATGGGTTACGCATGAACTAGGGGTGTTCAGTTATTAAATGGAAAAGAATGTAAACATTGGAAGTGAAACAAGGGAAAACCATTTGGTTGACTGATTCGATCTAGAAAAACTCATTCTTATACAGGTAAAAACGATTATTAACACATTTTTTTAATCTATAATATGAAATCAGACAGACCTAGAAATATCCAATTGTACGAGTTCGCCATCTATTTATATCTATGTTTATGTTTATATCGGGTTATATGACCATCTGCAGTCTTCGGAGGTCACCTTGATGATTATTTAGATGGCGTCTAGACTAAAATACACACGAAATGCTGATACATACTATCGAGTCTATGCATCATGAATTGTTTATTTTAGACTTTTTAAAATTTGGATATGCGTTTTAGTATGTTATAAGTCGAATGTAAGAATTTGAGTCAAATCGGTGAACATGAATTTGACAGCAAATGCCCTTTAAGATTGAAGTCATTGAAATGAATTTTATGCAAATTATAAACAGTACACTTTTTAAAATGCTTGTTTTAGAGCTAATGTTATTAAGATCTTTTTTTGAATGTCTTAAAATTAGTCATTTTGAGACTATAACTCTTATATGTAAGTCATCAAGACGTATGACCACTGAAAGTATTCAAAAATAGCTTCATCATTACTTCATACTGGGAACATGTTAATACATATGTTATGAAAAATAACTTAATCAATTGTGAAAGCTTAAAATAATACTAATTTCAAAACAGCCTATACCTTTTAACAACTGCGTCCATGAACTCATCAATAAATTCATCATATTTTGGACCATTATCCCTCCTCATTCTTAGGCCTGTGTAGAGAGGATCTTTCAGAAGACTCTTTAACAAAAACAGAAAATAATCATATAAAACATACTTATTGATATTTTCTAAAATTCAGTCAATTCAAATTTTGCTTTGATCTTTTTTTGTGATAATTTTGCATATCACACTACTCAAGTCTATCAATAATTTACTAAAAATCATTCCAAAGAAAAAAACTCTAAAACAGTCAATTGTCATATATATATATTTTAATTCTTTATCAAATATCAGTTAAACACCAATCAATCAATCAATCAAATATCAATTATGTGTTTCAATCTGAAATAACATTCAATATCAAAAGACATATATTGATATATTGATACATAGTCTATATATAAAACTGAAATTCCTGACAAAACTAAAATATTTTGTCCCTAAACTAAGAAACAAAAAAGGCAAAAATACTTAGTTTTTTATCAGTATTTTATCACAAAATGTATTATGATAGAGATTTGAGTTATCTCCCCTTTCACAGTTACCTGTTTGAGCTATAATTTGAAACTGTATTTTTCTGTAGGTCAAGAGTTTTATAAAAAGAAAATATTTTGTTATCCTATCAATACAAAGGTGGTTTTAGCATCCATTTTTCTTTATTCTGGGACTTTCTTCAACATTTCATACATTCAGGTTTCCATAATTGATATACACTGACAAGAAATGAATTTCAAAATGTGTATATGTTACTTGTAATGGAGCCTGTAAGTCGGGGGTCGTTGTTGATTTCTGTCTTTTCTATTTGTTTTTTGAAAATTTTTCATAAATCATAAATCAGGCTGTTGGTTTTCAAGTTTGAATTGTTTTTCATTTTATCGTGCTGGTGTCTTTTATAGCTTACTATATGGTATGGGTTTTGCTCATTATTAAAGGCTATACAGTACCCTATTGTTGTTTACATCCTCATCCTTTGGCCTCTGGTGGAAAGTTCTCTCATTACCAATCATACAAATACCATATTGCTTTATTTTCATATATGCTGCACATACCTGCCAACTTTTTAGAATTTTCATGGGGAATTTTAAGCACAAGAGGACCTAATGCATATCTATACATGTTGTTAATGTACTTGATTAGAACATCTATGGTTTTGAATGAGTATACATGTGTTTACATGCATTTTTACTCCTCTGAATGCCTTTACTAAAGCATTTAGTCTAAATAATTGAGTTTTATATGGGCCAGATCAACACCTCTCATGTGGGATATCCCCCATAAAGTGGGAAATTTGGCAGGTCTGGCTGCACCTTTCACTAGTATTTTCTAATTTTGTACTTTACCAGGACAAACTATTCCTTTATGAAAATTTGTCTTACCTCATTGTTAGTTCCTACGTCTAGTAATATCGGCAGACATTGATGTGGTTGTATTCCAGCTAAGGCTGTGTAGAGTGATAGCTTACCGACAGGTATACCCATACCATAGCAACCCAGATCTCCTAAACCCAAAATTCTCTCTCCATCTGTTACTACTATTGCCTGTATTGGAAGAAAACACAGATCATTTGAATGATTTTTTACTCACTAAAATTATTTTTTTACTACTGTAAATGCAGAAATTTTTGCAATCTTTTATTATAGCAAAAAATGGTGAGGAATGGGTTTGACAAATAATAAAAACTCATTTAATTTCTGATACATTGTGTAGCATTATTTCTCTGCAGTATTTAGGAGAAGTTGTCCTTTATAAAGGGTTGCATTTTACAGTATATCAAATGGTTATTTTTGTGGTGTCCTATTTAGATGGTGATGTTCTACAGCCTGCTTAAACAAATTTGACTGAATACAAATATTGCTTGTATAATATTTTGGTTTTCCAAGGTTTTTGTTTGAAAGACATTTTTTCAAATGCAATCCACCATAATATGTGATCATTTAATTTCAAGAAATTTTAAGAGTGATTGACCCCATTTTTGATTTAATTTTTTCCGTTTTTTTGGAAACTATTACTTCACTTTACAAAAAAAAAACTATCAATATTTCACTTTTTTTAAGTCCATTTTAAATTTTATACAATTTTATACAAACCTTCACATCATCTATAGGCCAGTTACAAATTACATCGTACACATGTCCTTTGTCATTTATTGTAATATAAAGTCCTCTGAAATCAAAACAATAAAATATTATAAGTAGGAATTTTCTAAACATATTACATTTTATATATATACAAGTCTAAATTGAAAAGAACGTTCAAACCTATGATTGCGTTGGATAAAAACCGCAATTTTTATATGTGTGCATGCAAAACAAATTTCTTGTTAGAAGTGGTCAAAAATACAGCACAAACAACTTTTTCCAAAAGACCAAAAAAGTGAAAAAGTATATTTTAACAAAACGCATTTGACTAACAATGTTGTTCGACCTGTTAGTCAAATGCGTTTTGTTAAAATATACTTTTTCACTTTTTTGGTCTTTTGGAAAATGTTGTTTGTGCTGTATATATGTAGGACTCAAATCTATGGCGGGTTCCAAATCTATGGCGGATTCCTAATCTATGGTAAATATGACGTAATGCCGTCTCAAATCTATGGCAGTTTTTGTTTTCTCCAAATCTATGGCAGATTTTGAAATTGCCTATTTTTCCGGGAAAAAGAGTTACATATAACGTCACAATCAAATAACGCCATATGACGTCGTCGCCGCCGCCGAATTTGAAGATGGCGGAACCCATGAACACCATTCCAGATGAAGGTTTTGTATTAGCAAAGGAAAAGAAGAAACCAGTTTCAAAGGACCCTAATCCAGAAGCGTTTTGGAGGGACTATGCAAAGGTAGTGTCCATTTGCAAATTAAAAGCAGAAAATCCAAAATGGGGATCCGCAAAAATAATCAAGTTTTGCAATGAACAGTTGAACGATAGAATGGTTAGAAAATATTTGGAAAATTATTTTTATGATTTGACTTCGAATCATTTGTATAAAAAAAGTGTTGACCTAGCTACTCCTCATAGGAAATGTCTTTCAAAGGAGGATTTAATTAATCTAGTAAAAAAGAATCATGCATTAGATCACAGAAAATCTCACAGCATTTATGAATCTATTCGAAGATTTGTTTTCCCAGTCGTAAGGGAAAACGTGAAGCTTTTATTTGATCTTTACGTGGACTGTGAACAATGTAAAAGTGCTATATCTCTACCAAAAACAGAAAGAACAAGACGCCCAATACCAGCAACTTATCCAAATTCAAGATGGCAAATTGACCTAAAAAAGATGCCACCTGATAAAGGATATCAGTACATATGTAATATCGTTGATTGTTTTTCAAGATTTGCATTTGGCCAAGCATGTAAAACTAAAAGTGCTACTGAAATAAGCAAAGTTGTACTCAGTTACATTTATCTATATGGAGCTCCACGTATTCTACAGTCTGACAATGGAAAAGAATTCCGGAACTCGCATCTTAAAGAAGTTGTAATACAATTTGACACAGTCCAAATGCATGGTAGACCATACCACCCACAAAGTCAGGGCAGAGTGGAACGTTTTAATCGTACACTGACTGAGTATTTTAGAATTAAAATGTCAGAACGTTCAGACTGGTCCGATCAACTTCCTGAATTTTATTACGCATATAACAACAGGCTAAACAAGGCCACACGTCCAAAGACTCCATATCAGCTATTTTTTAGTCGACCAAATTTTGCTGTGCCCCTTGATGATCAGGTATTTACTTTACTTCGTTAATTTTATTTAAATTATTATTTCGGAAATTAAAAATTGAGTCTTTGTGTTATAAAAAAATCTTAGTAATTAGGTCATTTATAGTAGTATTCTATTTTATGTTACAGCTATTCTGTGTCAATAAGTCGTCTAGGACCGTAGGATGTGTCAATAAGCTGGCTACGGCAGTATGCTGTGTCAATTAGCCGTCTAGATCCGTAGGCTATGTCAATGTGCCGTCTAGGGCCGAAGGCTGTCAATGTGCCGTTTAGGGCTGTTGGCTGTGTCAATGTGCATTCAAGTACCATAGAATGTGTCATGTGCACTATAGCGCCTTAGTTTGCAAATGTACTATTTTTAGCCGTAGGCTGTGTCAATGTTATGTCTGTTACCGTGACAATGTGCCGTCTAGTGACTTAAGTTGTAAGAATATGCAGTCTAGTCTGTGTAAATAAGCTATCATGAGACGTGTCTTAAGAAAAATTTGATTAGGGTTATTATTCATATCAGTATTTGTTTTTTAACTTGCGGTTGAGATAGATTTTTACATTATAGATTTATTTAAAAATTATAACTTGCCGAATGTCAGGAAATAAAGACAAACCAACAAAACAACGGTTTTTTTCACACCAAAGAAATTGAAAATTATTTTTTATTATAAAAAGAGCATCTTCTTTTCAACATACCTTTGTATTTATAGGTACCTTATGCTTCTCTTACTAAAGAAGAACGAGACTTTTTAGAGCACGCCGAATTAGATGTTGATGAAAATGAGTCAGAGGAAGAACTCCCAGAAGTATCTGTTGATGTGCTACACTCATCCTTAACTGAGGCTTCAGGTGGAAACCAATTCGCCAGTACAAATCATAATGAAGAGGAACTCACTTTACATGGTAAGATTTAAACACATATGCATGAACTTTTTACTTAAAGCTATCGTCCTGAACATGCATGAAATATTTGCCACTGGACGTTAAGCAACCAACAAACAATCAATCATTATTTAAAACTAATAAAAGTACACAAATTTGAATTATGAATTTAATTCTAAAAATGAATACAATTACTTGTTTTACATGTGATAAAAATAAATGCAAATTTAACATATGCTTAGCTATATTTAACTGTAAATTAATTAATTAGTTTTTGTTTTTATTTTGCAGACCATGGCGTAAATGAAGAACATGGCAATTTACCTCCAGATTGTACCCAGGAAAATGATTTTGTAGTGCCCGAACCATCATTTTCACAAACTGTTATTTTGCAAGTAAGTATGTTAAGCCTTGTGCATTACTTTGTTTATAATTTTCAACACACGCCAAAAAAAGAAGAAGAAAGAAAACCAACACATTAGATCTTACGAGTACGTACTTGTTCCTAACCAATACATAAATATCTTTTTTTTTAAATAGAAAAACCTATTGTTGTATGAGTTTCCGTATAACCTACAGATTAGACGAATATTTTTACATGTGTATTAATGTATTATTTGTTCAGTGAAATATTAAGTGATAAATTGTGCACAAAATAACACGAAATATTCTATTTATTTTTTTGTAGGAAAATGTTAGTCCATACTACAAACAAATGTATCAGAGAAAGTTTTATAATGAGCAAAATAAAGAAAATGTACCAGTTCATCCACAGGTATGTGATTTTGTTGGGATTTGTCTTTAAATGTCCTATATTTTAAACTTTGTGCCTTAGTAGTTTGTTGCTCGTTATGTAAGCGTAATATGTAATAATTTTGTTTACATACTGTTGTATAGAATAGGTTTGTAACTGAATGATGTACTTTTTAAAATATTGTCCTATATAACATAAAATTTGATGCATTTGATAGAAATCTTTAAAAGTGTTGCGACTGCACGTATACATGTACATGTATAAGACTTTTAATAATGCTGAACCATTCAAATGCAAAATGTAAAAGTTGAATTTTAGTTTGCTTTGTACGGTTATTACTAGTATATCAACTTTATTTTAAAACTGCTACACTTTGCATATATTTTTTTAACCTAAAAATAAGTAAACCGCGTTGGTTTTCCCGTTTGATGGTTTTACACTAGTCATTTTTGGGGCCCTTTATAGCTTGCTGTTCGGTGTGAAAAACCGTACTGTAACCTATAATAGTTTAATTTTACAAATTGTGACTTGGATGGAGAGTTGCCTCATTGGCACTCATACCACATCTTCGTATATCTATCTAGATGTACTATTATTAATTTAGATTTGATTTCACTCAGCCAACATATACTTTTGTTTATACTTATAGACTATTTTTTTTTGTAGAATGTAAATCAAAAACAGTTACCGGTATTTAACACTGGACTCACCGATTTTTATAAACAAATTCACCGGGAAACAATTTCAGCTTTTCCACTAGAGCAGTTTTCCGATGGTTTGAGGGAAGACATTACCTACTATCCGGAAGAGGGACAAAATGTGATGTACAGACCGAATCCTGCGATGAACAAAGGCACCGCAGTTTTCAGTACAGGATATTTCAGGAAAGGGGTCATAGACTCAATTTCAGCGTCTACTGCTGGAAAAGTGTATAAAGTGACAGATCAAATTACAGGATACAAATTTGATTTAAATCGTCATCAAATTAAAAAGATGTGATCAGGAGAAAATAAATAGCATGTGAAGAGTCAAAGTGTTTATTTTTTTTACAAACAGAAACTGCTTTCTTGTTGTTTAATGACTTACTATTTGGTTAATGTGTCGGTTAAACATGACCATGCACAGAGTAGAAAATGCTTATGTTTACGGGACACATCATTTCAAGATCATGAAGTCTTTATTAAGCTTTTTAAATTGATCATTTATAAATTTGGTTACTGTCATGATGTGGTTTATAATTTATACAATATACAAAAGAAGTTGTGGTATGACATGTACGATTGCTATGAGACAAATCACCACAAGAGACCAAACACAGAAATTAACAACTATAGGTCACCGTTCCGCCTTCAACAAAGAGCAATGCCCATACTGCATAGTCAGCTATAACATGTTTATTTCACTAGTGTTTATACACACTCTTACGTTGTCATTTATCTCCATTTGTTTTAGACAAGTCATTGGTCGTATATACTGCATTGTTTTCCATTTGCACGACATTTGCCATAGATTTTAAATCAACAAAAATCCGCCATAGATTTGGAAATTACAAAATTTGCCATAGATTTGGGTTGTAAAAAATCTGCCATAGATTTGGGATGGCATGACGTCATAATTAGAAAATTTAAAAAACTTGCCATAGATTAGGAGTGTAAATTTTTTGCCATAGATTTGGGATGGCATGACGTCATATTTACCATAGATTAGGAATCCGCCATAGATTTGGAACCCACCATAGATTTGAGTCCTACATATATATATATATATTATAAAAATTTGTCACTCTTGTTTCAGAAGTTATTTGTGTGTAATTTTTTGCACTTTTCCCCCATTGTTTATATTTTGATTACAAAGTGTCAAAATACAATTCATCTGAGATACATGTACTTTAGTTTTTTAAGATTCAATCTCATTTACCAGTCACATGAATATGTCCGAAAGTGAGAAATGGTTGGAATTGACAATACAATCTTCCTGAAATACCAACATATGGGTAATGTGTTAACAGGCGCATTGCATTGCGCCAATTTTTACAAAATCCAATCTTTCATTTGCGCCACAAGGACATATTTCATTTGCAACAAAAAATAAAAACTACTTTGCACCATTTTACAGGTAAAGTTTAAATATTCATTGCTACATCGTGAATAAGAATTTTTTTTAGTGTATTCCCCCTGGATAACTAAGTAAGCTCATATATAAAACTGAGAGTCACTTAGGCTAAAATATATAGTGTTCACATGTTTAAGGTGTCAAGATGGACATTGTCAATTCTGAGACAAACAGGTCGATAAATTTCTCAGAATTGGATTGTTTCATATTGGGCCGTTTATAGCCGACTATACGGTATGGGTTTTTCTCATTTTTGAAGGCTGTACGGTTGCCTATAATTGCTTTCATCCACTTCGTTTGAACTTTGGTGGATATTTGTCTCATTGGCAATCGTACTACATCTCCTTATTTTTATTTAGAGGAAATAAGTCTCAAGTTTTTCATGACTACACATATATATTATCCAGTGTACAGGAGTACATCCAAGCCATTGCTTACAAGTCTAGTGTCAAAACAAACTTTTGGTTTTACTCCAGTGTATAGTGCTTTCTTTGAGGTTTTGTGATTTTGTTTATTTATAACAGAACTGTGTTTTAACATTATTATGAAAAGTCTCTTATTAAGAATGTATCAGTGTATAATGTTTCATTATGGTTACGATGGCTGATTTTGGAGGAACATGCTTTATTATGCAATCAAAAACTGTGTTTTAAGGTTATTATTAAAAGTCTCTTTTGAATAGAACTATTTTTTTTACTATTTACCTGAAATATCTCAGAAATCCCCTATTGATTTAGTTGAATATCATGGAAAATATATATATACATATGTTACTCCATATAAAAATGTCTGCTTGTATTCTAAAAATATCATCAAGAATTTTATTTCAAAAATACCTTGGTTTTCTGAAAATGAGGCCATACTTCAAACAAGCTAAACCAACAGTTGGTGTATAAATAATAGGCATCATCAATTCTGTATGTTCACTAACAACTCTATAAAACAATTTCTCGTTCCTGTCTTGAAGAGCCATCAGATAAATGTATCGATCAAGGTCGTTCTGCCAGCGATTGAAGTTTTCCATGATGTTGACCACTTGTTCCTGTTGGTCCATCACTCTGGGCGGTAACAAACCATGAACACCAAGCATCTGTCTCTCTTGAAGAGTGAATGCCATACCCTGAATAATACATTTAATTTAAACTTATTTAAAGATGTGCCAGTTAGTTTTCTCATTTGAATTGTTTTACATTTGTCATTTCGGGGCCTTTTACGGCTTACTACATGTATCTAGTAAGGGTTTTGCTCATGGTTAAAGGCTGTACAGTGAACTATAGTTGTCATCTTCCTCATTTAATGGTATCTGGTGGAGAGATGTCTCATTGGCAATCTTACCACATCTTCTTATTTTTATATGAAGGTAGAATACCAATATTGAATTTTTACATTGATTTATAAATGTTCATGAATGTTAAGGATGTACTTAGGTGAACTTAAAAAAATCTAGAATTTAAAATTGATACTATAAGTCAAGGAACAAAATAAGCTAAAATATTGATAGGTAATGGAGCTCCTTTTCGAGATATTTTGTTTTTTAAAATGGCGGGAAAAGGCTGACTTGGACTTGTACCTTATATTTGCATTGGTATTATTTGGGTCTCATTTCGAAAGAAAAGAAATCTAGAATCTACTTAAATTTTGGTAAATGACCTTTTATGAGCTATTGAAGTCTTATATGAAAAGGAAAATGGGTGTTATGGGGCAAAATATTTTACCCTGTATCGTAGGAAAAAAACCAAGGAGTCCGAACATTTGACAAAAATTCCTAAACCTCACCTAAGTACATTCTTAAGGAGTCTCAATCGCTCATCTTGTAAAAATATGCCTTTTTGGTAACTACTTTACCTAAATATACATTCAGTTATGTTTGCTTATCTATCTTTATGTAGTGGCATTTTTGAAGTTTTGCTTTGATGATCATTTTCACTGTTAACAGATTATAATTCTATCTATTCGATTTGTAAGATAATTGGAAAAATTATAAAAATTGGTAGAAAAATTGTCATTTTAAGTTAGAGTCTGACAATTTCTGGCAAATGTTGACTTATATAAACTAGTGTGACAATTTGGCCATGTTGACTTAATTGCAGATCTTACTTACTGATCATTTTTGCTTTTTAAAGTTTCTCTCTTTCTACTATTCTAGTTCATGACAATAATGCAAAAAATGGATAAAAATCATCATTCAGGGGCAATAACTCCTATAGGGAGTTGGTTGGCAATTTCAACAGTTCAACTTATTTGCAGATCTTATTGTGCTGAAGATTTTTTGCTCTTGATGGAATCCTTCTTTAAGTTATCTATTACAGTTTCTGTAAAAAAAAACTCAAAAATGGATAAAAATCATCTTTTAAGGACAACAATTCCTTTTGAGTTAAGGGGTCCACTGAAGATTTCTTTAATGTGGATTTAATTGAAGATCTTATTTTACTTAACATTTGTTTTATTTACTTTTAATCTCAATCAATTATAGTTGCTACACCAACAAACAAAAAATGCAAAAATGGGGGTAAAAATAATCATTCAGTTACTTTTTAAAGTTTCCCTCTATCTGTAATAGTTTTCAAGATGATAATTAAGAATTGATTAATATTTGCTGTGCATCTAATGGACCATTGCTATTTTCCTTTACAACTGTCACTATAATTTTTCTTAAACAAACTCATTTTTATATACTTGGTGCATATCTTTCATATTTTAGGAGTGAATCGGACAAAACAGAAAAGTATTATTATTTGCATTACTCGAAATGAGAGTAGGTTTTGATAAATGTAAAAGTTACAAAAAGAAAATGTAGCCTGGGACCCTAGTCCAATGTTTGCCTCAAACTGCTTATGCATTACTGTTGAGAAGTAAACCTTATTTTCATCCTGTTGTAACTTATCTTACGGGTTTAAATGACAGTTGTAATGACAATGTTTATCTACTGTAAACTTTCAAAACATCTTTTTTTCCTTCCTATTTAGTGATAAAAAAATGAGATATATAGATATATCACAAACTCAATTATATATAGACTAGCTTATGACTATAATTGAAATAGATGTTAGAATTACAGCAAACAAACAAAGAATAAATCATATTAACAACTTCAGATTGGCTAACATGGCTAATATGGCTAATGAAAGTACTGTAAAATGGACTGATTTATGACAGATCACATTAATTTAAGATTAAACATAGGGAAAGATTTATTGCTTTGCAAGTTCAATAATTACTTTCTCAAGTGTTAAGTATCAAATTATTCATTTTAGAATTAAATAGCAAACGAAAATCAATCATTCAAATGATTTTCACATTTTTTGGTGGCCATGTTAAACTGGGTGGAGAAATTAAATTGGGACATTAATAGCATAATGTATTGATTTTGAATAATTTTGTGATATAAAGTAATATAATTGGACTTGAACAAATAATAAACTGAACTCTAAAACTAATTGACATGAATATGAAATTAAGAAAGTTTTATATCATCTGATAAACTAGTTTAAAGACAATTCTTCTAATATTTTGATCTCTATATTTTCTTGCTACCAATATTTTAAATTGATATCATCTCCATTCCTAGAGAAGTCTATATCCTGATTTTGACTTCATTTATATGTTTTATATGCAAACAGAACTGACATGGTCACAGTAAAATTGAGAATGGAAATGGGGAATGTGTCAAAGAGACAACAACCCGACCATAGAACAGACAGTGCCTGCTTGAAGTTGTTTTCTTACATGTATAATAGAAAAGAAAAGATATGTGTATCCATCTATGACACAAAATCAGTGCATACACAGCAAAAAAAAACACAAAAAGCAGAGGAACAGTACTTTTATTGTTGTTCTTCATCTTGAAGTCACAATGAGGCCTTCAACATAGAGCAAAACACCTCACTGCAAGTTTCCCCTGAGTGTTTTTATGCATATTATTTAACCCTACCTACAGAAATATGTAAAGTTTGTTATTTATCACATTTATCTTAGTATCAAAGGAACATTATCCCAATTCATATATACACTCCTATTCTCAACCTACTTTATATGCCTAACAAACACTTAAACTCTGCAGTTTTCCACAGTGCCATCTCTATCTTGACCAGGTATTTAAACTTTTGCAAGTTCACCTGTCCTATTGAATAGATACAATAGCTATTGTTCTCTGTGTAGTTTATTCTCTGGGACCTTTAAATTTCTTCTAAGAGAAATCTATCATTCATTGATTAAATTACCCAGTAAAAAAAATTTCTTATATATAGACAAAAATACTGTTTTTATACTCATTAACTGTATGTGATGATGTAGTTATTCAATATTAATAATATATTTTCATTCAGTTTAATATAAACATTGATTCAATCATAAAAATTTGATTTCTGACAAAACTTTCAACATTGTTCCTTTTAAAAAAAAATTTGTTTGACATGAATAAGAACTTGAAAATAATGATGTTTCAAATTAGATCTTCTTAAATGTATTCTTTAACTAAACAAAAAAAAATCAAATTTCAATAGGAACATTGATAAAACTTTTGTTAGAAATCAACTTTTTATGATTGAATCAATGTTTATATTAAACTGAATGAAAATATATTATTAATATTGAATAAATACATCAGCACACGCAATTAATGAGTATAAAAAAAGTATTTTTGTCTATATATAAGAATTTTTTTTTACACAGGTAATTTAATCAATGAATGATAGATTTCTCTTAGAAGAAATTTAAAGGTCCCAGTGAATAAACTACACAGAGAAAAATAGCTATTGTATTCATTCAATAGGACAGGTGAACTTGCAAAAGTTTAAATACCTGGTCAAGATAGAGATGGCACTGTGGAAAACTTTCATTGGGTTCGCAATAATGTTGTCCAAAACAACTGCTTTTACCTATTGGAATCTAGCATTTTGTGGGGGGGAGCAATGAAACCAGTTTTTTGTGTATCAAATCTTTAAAAGTAGCTTGCACATATTAAAAAAAATTCCTGCTTCTTCCTTTTCATTATTTTATAAAATTTTCCATTTTTTGGAAAATATATATACAGAATAAAATAAACTCTCTTTATTATGAACCCTGTACATAGTATGACTGAACTACTTGTTTTGAAATTTACAGATCATTCATTGTTCAACAACAAGCTTTTAAATTATCAACATAATTGGAGGGTGCTTTAGTAAGTGTACATATTGAATCTCTCTGAAAACCATTAAATCAGATTTAGCATGTTAAACAACCCAATTAATTTTCAACTAAGCACTCTAAAATTGATTTTATTGTGAAGGCAAAATGTCAATTTTTGGTGTAGTTGTATTGTTGCTTTCTATTTAGTTAATCTCAAGTCTTCTTTAAATCATACAAAACTGGTGTGGCCTAATTTACACATGATACAGATTTTTAAAGGTATTTCTTTTAATAGTTTTTGCAATTAAAATACATTTGTACATATAAAACGGTTAAAGTTACAATATTTCATTAAAATAACATTAGAAATAAAAGTTCATCTTCACCAGATTTTCAAGAATGAACAACTCACAGCAATCCATGATTTTCAGATAGGGGGCATAATATAAAAACAAATTCATAATTTTTGACGGACATATATATTCAATTATAAAATGCTATTTTTATCTACAAGATGAACAAATGACAGAGGAAGGAAGATATGTTTTTCTTTGTTTAATTTTATTCAAGACCATGGGACCCCTTCTCCTTGCTTTTGCACCTGCATGGATTTATTATCTAATTGTACACCTCAAATACTTCTTGGAAAATTGTTTAATCCTTTGAAATCACAGGGACATCTTACACAGCTTTTAAGTTATAAATCTTGTAATGTAAAGTATGTGTTTTGTGGCAATGCAAGTATGGTCAGGACTCATTTAATCATATCTTGTTTATCTTTAACTTTTGACCACTTGGACATCAGAATGACCCTACCACTTGGACACAAGAATGACCTAGAAACTTGACACACCGATTACAAATATTTTGATATGAGCTTATTCATCATGCTTACAGAGACATATATACACATGTGTATATATGTCTCTGATGCTTATAAGTGGTTAAATTGTCACTTTGTTAAGAAACTGAAATTTAAATGGCTTATTGTCTCTTGTTTCTTTGCAATTTAAGTACAAAAAAATAATATTCGTTCTGTGAGTTTCATTAATATTTTTTTGCAAATTCATCTCATTTAAAAGTCAAAATTGAGAACAAGTATCTTAGGGTATTTTGCATGGCATTTAAAATGGGTGCATGATAAAAAGAAAACTTCAACATAAAACACAGAATAGTATCGTTTACCTTATTTAACAGAGGGTCTCTTAACAGATCAACTCCTCTGACCCTGGGTCGGGCAATTTTTTCATCAGTAGCAGACGCATTTTGATCCATGTTGTTTGTAAAATCAGCTGGAAATACTGCCCTCTGGAAAAGAAGAACAGATAAATCTGTTTCCCGCGGATTTTGTAACTTGCGATAAACTTATGTCCCAGGTGACAATAAACTAATCCAGTAACATGACTCTAAATTATAAGAATAAAACGAGATGTTCTGTAATCATAAAAAGTAGACACCAAATAACACAATGAAAACAGAAAAACAAATTCTAACTGTCCCCGTACATGCAGTTTTCCACCAAATGAGTACATAATATTTGCCAGTAATTTCGGTGTCAAAATTAATCTTAAATTTTCTGTAAGATTTTTTCTGGGATTGTTGTTTGTCTACAACTAATATTCTTTTTTTTTTTTTTGGGGGGGGGGCTTCAATACTACCATTTTTTCTTATACTATTATTCATGTTTCATTAATTGTTTTTTTTTTTCAAGTTATGATCCGCTTCCCTTTTTTATTAAAATGTCTCTCTCATTTCAGTTACTTTCGATATAAAGAGAACGTCAATGAGAAAGCAACCCAACGGCAAACATTTTTAGAAGACAAATAGAGGGCAACCTACAATCTTAAATTAAAAAAAATACAGATGTCAAGTATTAAATCTTCCCCAGTCAGACTAGTAAAATGTATCAGCAGCATACTGAACTTAACAGAACAATCAAACTAATAAGTGTCATTAAAATTATATTCTCCTAATACTTCTTGGAATATTTTACACTGCTATAGCATCAACTCACAAAGTTAAAAAAACAAAAAAACAAACGTACTCACAAAGCAAACTGTTTTTACAATTACATTAATTTAATCCTGCGCTTAGGCTGATGACAAAAAAGCACAAGGTGTCAGATGAATTTATCCCGTCAATTTATATGACTATACAAATATATTACTAGTATTCAATAGAACATGATTTTCCTTCCAAAATCAACATTTAAATCGAACCCGTGACCCCTGGAATGCAAAGCAGCCGTTCTACTCCAACGCAATTAGAAGATCGGTGACTGACTGTGCCAAGGGTCCCGGGTTCGATCCCGACTGGTACATTGCCGGGTATATTTTGGAAGGAAAATCAATCCCAGCTAGCTGTTACATGTATGTTGGGCATCTCAGCTGAAAATTCCACATTGAATAAAAGAGAATAAAGGAAATGGACCACTATGACAAGCCTTTTAAACACAAGACTCACTGTAAAAGATCCGTCGCAGTATAATTCACCATCTCCAACCACCACCAACTCACCCGGCCTTCACTGAAATACTGAATTGTTACCCTTACATTTGCCTACCACCACCCCAGTGACTTTCAGTCTGGAAAAAATTATTCTATACATTTTACCTAAGTATTTTTTGTGTGTGTGAAATTTCAAATCTGAAATACCTGAAATGACTTTAACACATTTATTATGTGTAATAGTTGTCTAAGATTCAACAAATAAACTTAAAAATGCGACAAGAATTGTGTCCCTAAAAGTTTTGTTGGGTTATGATATTTTATGTTGTGTATAGTCACCATAATTCCGCGTTCCTAGGTACCAACACTTACATTTGGTAATATACTTTTGGCATGGCTCGGTATTTATACATCCCGCCATTGTGTTATTGTGCTATGGTCATTTTTGTTTTCTGGTCTTTCATTTTTGCTGATGTACTTTTTCTACATAAGCAAATGCCTGTGCCAAGTCGGGAATATGACAGTTGTTTTCCATTCGTTTGATGTGTTTGAGCTTTTGATTTTGCCATTTGATTTTAATTTTCCTTGGAGTTCGGTATTTTTTTAAATTTTACTGTTTACAACTAACCTTGATAAATGCTACTACAATTTATATCCTGTGTTGCTTTACTGAAAACTTATTATTTTTACATAGTCCATGACTAAACAGTTTTTGTTTGTAAACTTATGCATTATACTGATTGCATGACTAGATATATCACTATAAAATGGACGGATACTCTCAAGTGTCCAGGAAGTACTTTTGTAAAACAGACTGAGGAAAAATTGAATAATTGACAATACGCGATTGTTTATTTTCATAAAACTTCCTGCCAATACTTGGTATAAGTTACATCAAAGATTTCAGTAAGGAGAACTTGACTAGAACGTGCCTGTGACGACGTACATTTACTTATAAAGGTCCTTGTTTAAGTTTTCAATAATAAACTTGATGATGATTGCAATGTTTATTTCTAGACTAAACTGAACTCAACTTTAAGAAATTAGTTATTTTTGAAAATAAATAATATAAAACCTGAATGGTTATACATATTATCAACCACTTTTCTAGCTAAACAACTTTTGACTGGTGACTTTTTAAGGCAATCGTTGCAACTTTGCGAAAATGAGGTCCATGTCCATCAGAAGTTACATTACTAGTATCATATATAACCTTGTTTTTTGTTTTGTGTTTATACTTGTAATTCTTGACTGTTGTGTTAATATTGTGTTACATTTTGTGTTTTTACTTGACACATATTGTAAGTTGCACTCCCAACCAAAAATATTAACTGTTTTTTAAACAGTAAGGAGTATCGAAAAGTAAAGTTATCTCTCTTTGGTCATGATCTATTTCAATGTTAAAAACAAATTAATATTATGTTCACATACGGATTTCATTTGAAGTATGACTTCCACTTGGACAAATTTGATAGGACATGGTACTTCACAACAAGATTGTTATGGTAAAATTGTTTATAAAGAAAATAAGTAAAAGAAATGACCTTCATTTTCGCTGAAATAGTATAATACATTATTATTTAGGGACCAACTGAAGCCCGCACCGGGTGCGGGATTTTCTCGTTGTGTTGAAGACCTATTGGTGGCATTGGGGAGTTTTCTGCTCTTTGGTCGGGTTATTGTCTCTTTGAAACATTCCCCGTTTCCATTCTCAATTTTATTCAAAATTATTCTTTTGACTGTATAGACGTTTTGAAAAATGTTATTATCGTTGTTGATGCACAATTGCATATATTGATTCGCTTGTTTACAATTTGAATCTTCGGGTGGTGGATTTTTAGTAGTCCCAGTTGAATCTATCCGAAACTTGCCAACACTCGGAGAGTTTGAGCTCAACATATGATATCGATCTGTTGACTTTTGAAAACCCTAAGTTGCATTTCCTTGTGTTTAATTGTGTTGCTGGGTTGCTGCTTCACTAATCAATGCCTCACATCTACTTTAATTTTTCAGATTTGCTTAGAGGGATTAGGACAGCAAACCGTTATTAGCTTGCTGTAAAAGTTGCCGATTAATCCTTGCAAAAAGACACAAAAAAGAATTAAGGCACACGATACTTCCTTGTGACAAAAAGTTGGTTCGTGAGAGTACCAACAATTCTGATGTAAAATCAAAAAAGAGTGCAGTTTGAAAATTCGACACATGAAAAACGCAGGAAAAGTTCAAGACTAGTATTAATACAAAATCATATATGGACCAACTACTAGCCTTTGTTAGTCTTCTGTTTGTTTTATTTTGGTTCATTTGTATGTTTCATCATTTAGTGTGGCGTCCATTTCCCTGTACAAGAATGCACTATTGTTTAGGGGCTAGCTGTAGCCCGCCTCTTGGTGCGGGATTTTCTTGATGCGTTGAACACCCATTGGTGGCATTTTTTCTACTCGTTGATCGGGTTGGGTTGTTGTCTCTTTGACACATTCCCTGTTTCCATTCTATATTCTATGTTTTTATGTTACTCGTTACTGGTTTTTGTTTGGTACTTCGTATTGCCATGATCTATTGAGTAAAGCATGCATGACATCTGCAACTGATTTTACAGTTTATTCTTCTGTTGTGCTACTACACCACTGTCCCAGGTTAGGGGAGGGTTGAACGCTCACAAACATGTTTAACCCCGCCACATTCTTTATGTGCCTGTCCAAATTCAGGAGCCTATTTTTCAGTGGTTGTTGTTAGTTCATATCTGTCATACTTGTTTTTCGTAAATTGCATTCTGCATTGTTTCACATTTTTTTAAGGTCGGAGCCTTTTATGCTCTGACAATACGATATAGAGATTTTTTCCTATTTCAAAGACCTATATTTGCTTATATATATATCTTCGTCATTTGAACTGTAGTTGATAGTTGTCTCATTGGCAATCATACCGCGTCTCCTTTTTATATGGTCCACATTAACACAATTTAGCCGAAATATGCATAGTATAGTCCTTACAAGTACACCTTACAGCACAGTTGCTCAGAGGGAATCATTCTTTCCAAGGACAAATTGAGACTGGAATGCATTGCCCACTGATCTGCCTCGGCCAAGACCCTTGAATCATTCGAGGCTCTATAGTCAGTTACTTGATTGAATATGAATCAGTTGGTTTTTACAAGCACTTTTTGATCTGTACAGAAACATTTTTGTTTGTTAGTGAGTTAATTATTATATTGATTCATAGTAAATAAGCGTAGGCGCAAATCGCTGTTCGACCAAAAGCGACAGTAAAATAAAAAAATCATGTCCAAATTATGATGCAGGCCACCAAACGGCATGCAGAAACAAAAAACTTCAAACTTACCAGAATTGATACAAGTCTGACATTTCCAAGGAAAGGATGTTTTCTGAATTCTGCTAATTTCAGAAAATTACATACTTTTGTTAGCATCTATCCGTCCGACATGTAACCAGGAATTACAACTATGACGTTAATGTAATTGTTACATACGACGATACGTTAGAAAGTGAATGATTAAAGCATGGTTATTTAGAATCAGATATGAATATAAAATACAAAGTAAGGTCTATTGAAAAGCTTTTAACCGGCATACATAAGACATAAAACACATAAAACAGAAAGCACAGCATGCATAGCATAAATACTGTTATCAAAGCACAGCAAATTATAGCAAATGATAAGCAAATTAAAGCTTCATTTCAGGGCCTGTTATAGCTATGGGTTTTTCTCATTGTTGAAGGCCATACGGTGACCTAGAGTGGTTAATTTCTATGTCATTTGGTCTCTGGTGTATAGTGTTGTATCATTGGCAATTATACCACATCTTCTTATTTTTATATAAAAGCAATATAAAATAATTTAATCAAAAGGCGTAAGTTCTGAAAATTGACTTGACCGGGATGATAGGCGGTAGTTCTTTTGTCTCTAGAAAATGGTAGCATGTTGAGTATAATATAAAAAATTGTCTTTGCGACAAACTCTCTCCTTCTCTCTCTCTCTCTCTCTCTCTCTCTCTCTCTCTCTCTCTCTCTCTCTCTCTCTCTCTCTCTACACGGGCATGCATATGCATTGCCGGTGTAGTTATGCATCCTGCACATCGAAGTCGATACCCTTTCAGTAGGGGTAATTAAGTCAAGCGAGAGAAGTGTCTTTGCATGAATCCTTCAGTATTATATACAACTGCCACCCTACGAAATTAGCAGGAGAGGAGCTCACTTCTAAATATAGTCAGATATAAACATATGGCAGACTTACCATTTTGGTTTCAAAATATATTCCTTCTTTTGAACACAACCATGTAAATCTTACGACGGATTAAAACAGCTATTGATTAATTATTTGTCCTGGAATTAGAGCTTAATGTCACTGAAGTACTTTCAAAGAGTCGTTTTATATTGATACATTTTCCGCATGTTTCAATATTAAGAAACGGATTTTTAAGACATCAAAAAATGACGCATTGCTTTTAGCGTTCTGAAATTTAATTTATATTTTGAACGTGTCTTTCATCTTTTAACCTTCGTTTTTCCAGAAAAGAATTCTTTTCATGAAACTAATCAGTCTTAAGAAACTAATTTCGGCTACTTTGTCTCGTGGGAATTTTATTTTGCTTCTGTAATTTCATAATGTCGGAGGATATTTTAAAGCTAGATTAACAGACAATTATACAATAACAGGATAGACATGTGGTTTATACTTTAATGAGACAGCAACCCAATGACAAGAAAAAAAAACAGGAATCATCTAGTGATCAACGTACTGTCTTCAACAATAGATGCATGTCTATGCAATATGCATGTCATGAACTAGTCAAAATTGTCATTAGTCTAGCTACACAGCATATACTATCAAAGATTTGCCATTTACACTGTCGACAGTTGAATGACCGTTCTATAAAAGACACAACAGCACTAAGTTGGTAAGGTGTTGATGGATATAATATTTTTAACATTGCTTACATCCAGTTTTAAAAACGTTTGAGAAAAATAGTGTAAAATGTTGTAAAACGATTTTTGTTGGATTTGTATCAATTTTACAATTAAATAAAGAAGAAACGAGGCATATCAGCTATAGTATATTATAGTTACACTCACCATAAGTCTTCAGATAAAAGTCTTATGACAGAATGACTTTCAAAGTGTATTTGAATGTTAAATATGAGTAATAAAAATTGTCATAGATCTTGTAAAACATCAATTTTTATTATTTTTTGGATACATATACATGTTATATTTCATCTTCAAAGTAATTCAACATGAATAAACATTTTGAGGTTAAAAACTACTTGTTGTTCTATTTTTAGCAGCAAACATCTATCTTTAATGAGCATCAAAGTCACTTGAAAATCATATTTAAAAAACACTTTGTCCAATGGGCAATCAAGGTGAGCTAATGAAATCCCTGGACGTCGTTGTAAATAAAAAAAAATTTCTTTTCCTCTGAAATTGCAATTTCAACAAAACTCGATCGGAATTGATGATATCTATTATAAAGTTTGCCCTTTTTGTTTACTAACCAACCAACATGAACGCCATAGCTAAAAATAGTAACTAAGGGTAAAATGCATGTAATTGTCCAATACAAATGTATCTTGAAAACCATTTGCAGAAAAATTTACAGGGACACACACAAATGCTCACAATGCCAAGATCGAACAGCTTTCCAGCTCAATAAAAATTATCAGGTGGGCGACTTCCTTTTTGGATTGAGCTTCCTTACGATTTTCGTGCTTTCTCTATTATCTCTAATAGATATAAGAAGATGTGGTATGAGTGCCAATGAGACATGCAACTCTCCATCCAAGTCACAATTTGTAAAAGTAAACCATTATAGGTCAAAGTACGGTCTTCAACACGGAGCCTTGGCTCACACCGAACAGCAAGCTATAAAGGGCCCCCAAAATGACTAGTGTAAAACCATTCAAACAGGAAAAGCAACGGACTAATCTATATAAAAAAACGAGAAACGAGAAACACTTATGAACCACATCAACAAACGACAACCACTGAACATCAGGAAAAATTATAACAGAAAAGTATAAACTGAAATCAGCAAAAAGAACAACAATCCAGCAGTAAAAAAACTACAAAAATTATTTGAAAATCTTGTGATATTGTCTTTAAACGATAATTTGACCATTGTTATGGCGTTAGCGTATAATCGCAAAAGCTAAAGCAGATGGACAGAAACAGAAGATTACAAAAACGAAGAAGAAGAGTTTCAGGAAACAATGCTAGATGTACAGAAATTGTAAACGTTGTAGAAATGGTCAGCATGGCAAAAAAGAAATGCGAATAAATCACATGAACAGAATTGTCAATTGGCCGTTTAGTAGAATTATTGCCCTTTTATGATTTTTTGGACCATTTAGTTTTATTTATAATTACCTTGAAAATAGTAATTGATAGGTAGAAACTAAAATCTAGAAAACGTTTCATTCTAATTTGATGTGTTGACTGCTTATTGGAGAACAATTTTTTAAAGGGGGGGGGGGGGGGGGGGGGGGGGAGGGGGGTGAAAATGTCCTGATTTAATTGCATCTTAATTTTTACTTTACGGAAATGACTGTAATGAAGAAGAAATAATTTATTGGCTTTAATTTTTTTCTTAAATGCACACTGGAAATGCTGTGTATTTGAAAATATGAAACTGTATACATATATTCATGGACTTCATCTTAAAACTCACTAATCCTAGAGAAACCGGATTTTTTATTCGCATAGAAACATCGAACAATCAATGTCTTGAATCTTATATGTATCTGAGATATGTCAACAAATTTAACGGTTTTCACAACATCGATCTTTCGTTAAACTTTCACCATTCAGGAATAAATCGTTAAAGTAAACAGTATTCGGTATTAAAAAGATTTACACATATCTACAAATTTCTCCCATTACAAGACAATTTAATCCCTTACTTTTCCATTTATCCTATAGTCTATCTTAAAACAGTCATAGACGAATAATGGCCACGGAGGCTTGGAAAAATCATCTTTATGTCCAGGATTTAAGACTTGCATCTGAACTATTCGCAATTGAACAGGTATACTCTTTATCTAGCATATTGACATTTTAGAATTGAACAAGCCAGTCTTTGCAACACACAAAGGGTTTGCGTGTTTTGATGTCGATTCCTTTAGTATTTTAAGCTGTTTATGTGGGGCTGAAAAAACGACCAATCAGTTTTATGGTCGTATATACACAATTATACAAATATATATATTGGCTTGAAGATATGACATTTCTTTCACTCACAGACACAAAATCAAAAAAAGTTAATTTTGTCAATCAACCTACTGGAACTCGAATATTTAAGAGTGTATTATATTACTTCAATGTTTTTTCAATTATTTTACATATTCTAAGTCAAAATTTTATTCAGCGCTTGTTATTCCGTTGAATACACTTTATAGGAAATATTGACATGTTTTAGTAAATTTTTGCATAAAATGACATCCTTAACTGAAATGAATAAATTAATATCCAGAATAACTTACATGCAATAGAATTTTGGTTTTGGTTTAGAATACCATTCTAATATTGTTTTTTTTCCATATAACTCTTTCATACATCCTTGGCTTTGAAATATCTGGTGTTGAGCGTTCTTGATGAAGGTATGTCAAGAAAAGCGCTTCGGGCGTATGAAATTTATAAAGCGGTGTTTTCATTTTGTGAATAATTACTCAAACTTTTGCAAAAATATATCAAAATTGCAGGTTTTAGTCATAGAATGCATTTATAAAATCGTAAGATGTTCGAAGTATGCCAAAATAATGATCAAACCTTATCATAGTACACATATGAATCAATATGATACTGTGCATTTGAGTAACATTTATTATACTTTAAGAAAATTATCCTAGTGTGAGATAAAAGAAAAAGTCATCAGGTTTACCAGGATTGTGATTAATTTTGTACGTCGCCGCGTGTTTCGTCTACAAAAGACTCACCAGTAACTTACTTACTTACCTAGTCCTTGCTTAGGACAAGTTTCCTCCACTCTTCTCTGTTGTTTGCTTTTCTTTCCACTGTGCCCCAGGTATATCCTCTTTCCTTTAATTCATTTTCTATAGTGCGTCTCCATGTTGTTTTTGGTCTTCCTCTTTTTCTTTTTCCTTCTGGTGTCCATCTAAGGGCTACATTGGTCATGTCTTCAGATGGTTTGCGACGAACATAACCAAGCCACCCCCATCTCTTTTGTATCAACAAAGTCTCCATGTACTCACCAGTAACGCTGGAATGAAAAAAGTTAAAAGGACAAATAAAGCACGAAGTTGAAAAGCATAGAGGGCCAAAAATTCCAAAAGGTTTTGCCAAATACAGATACAGTAAAATTCAGTGGGAAATTAGTTCTACCTGTTCAAATTTTTCCACCTTTAACCTTCCTTTCTACATTCTCGTACATATCGTGTGCCCTGATTGGCCATGACATCCACGTTGATAAACCTGCAGTATCGTCCTATATTCAGGGAATCCTATAAATAAGGAGCATGTGTATTTTACCCAGAAAGACAGCAACATTGAAAAAAAAAAATATTTAAAGACGTCTAGAGGTCAACATCTACAATGACAGATAGTGTCAAAATATGTTTAGCTTTAAATAGTTCTAAGTTTAGACTGTTAGACACTGCCACATATAAGCCTTCAATAACAATTCTACATTTGAAAAAAAAGATAAGAAATAGATGTGATATAGAGCAAGCCACAAAAAAGTTGCGACCTTGACGTGGAACAGACTCAGTAACGTGTGGACCAGTTTTTAAGTAACTTAATCTTTTAGTCCTGCTTGATTTCGAATAATGTATTATATAGACTGAGTCAAATGATTAAAATCAATTTAGATGCCTTTTAAACAACTCTTGGCTGAATATGAGTTCATAATAAAGTCTTGGGCTTAGATTTTTACCCGATGTTTGCTTCAAATCATACAGACTTGATCTCTTTTTATTCATACAAATTATTAAAAAAAAATCTTGTCTCCATCATTTCCTAATTTTGAATTTCCCACATTCCCGTCCGTTTGGATTTCCACGGTAAAACGATTTATTCCACGTATGCATGGCCAAAATAAGTACATTTTCCATTCATTGTTGTGTTTTGTTATTAACCTTTCCTTTTATCTATTTGATTGTTTATTACTCTCTGTTTGTTTTTGCGCTTTTGTTATACATGCGCATCGAAACAGAAAAAAACCCACAAACAAACAAACAATCAAACAAACAAACAAAAAAAAAAAAACAAAAATGTCTTTCTTGTCAGTTCAGTTGCGTGTTATATATCTTACACCAGTTGTTTCATTGTGGCTAGTGGTTCAGTTACTTTTGATATTAAAAAATGACCACTCTAAACAGAGACAATATATGTCTCTGCTCTGAGCAAGGTCATGATATTTCAAGTTCATGTCCTTCATGGAAGTAGCACGCTGGTACACGATAAATGAAGAAACACCATTTGTACCTTATAATATTTAATAGATATCAATTTAAAGTTTTCCAGGACCCAAATGTGAAATCTATTTTTCTTAAAATCCATTTACTAAATAATACTGAGAATTTGGCCATCCATTATTTAAAAGTGACTACAAATAATTTCAGTCTATTATCACTCAATTGCTAAACGAAGATGTTTTAGTCTTTAAGAGAACGTTCGTACAATCTCAAAATTTAAATTTCACGATTAATTAAAAGACATAAGTACCACTTATTAAAGTGTGCATAATAATTGCAAAAAACTTAGTGAAAATTTAATCACTATTGATTGCGGATTTCAAGGCCCATTAACGGATCGATTACTTTGGCTTATTTAATTTCTTTTATCACATTTAAAACTTTTTTCATTTTTATTAAGTTGTTTGGAAAGATTATTAGTAACATAAATATTTACAACTCAAACGATTGAAAATTGAGATTTCGTTAAAAAGGAAACAGTGTTTACATCATTCTTTTACTCAATACCATTTCCCCGCGGAAACGTCACAGCACGCGACGAAAAATTGGAAATCCAACCGGAAGAGGAGCACGTTTTCACATGTAACCTTGGGAAAACGACGTTAGAAGATGATTCTGTGTTATTTTAGATGAGTGATAAGGTTTTATAGGTATATGGCGTTCATTTCAGCACCCACACTTTGTGAAATAACATATGATTTATCCGAAGAGGAGAAAAGTTACACACCTTTTCGATATCAATGCCGGTCCGCTCCTGGGACACGGGCAAATGTTCAGAGCCCTTCAGGGTACAGTGAAGTTACTAATTATAGTCTTCCAACAGGATTGACCGTTACTTACTATGAATATCTTCGTTCTCTTTATGACTCAAGGATACACAGTGCAAACAAGGCAAGTACATCGTGGGCGGATCCAGGTTTTTAGGTTCGACGACTTCCCACTTTCAGGTTTATGAATGAATTGCCCTGTTTAACCTGGGAACAGTATATATATGTAGGACTCAAATCTATGGTGGGTTCCAAATCTATGGCGGATTCCTAATCTATGGTAAATATGACGTCATGCCATCCCAAATCTATGGCAAAAAATTTACACTCCTAATCTATGGCAAGTTTTTTAAATTTTCTAATTATGACGTCATGCCATCCCAAATCTATGGCAGATTTTTTACAACCCAAATCTATGGCAAATTTTGTAATTTCCAAATCTATGGCGGATTTTTGTTGATTTAAAATCTATGGCAAATGTCGTGCAAATGGAAAACAATGCAGTATATACGACCAATGACTTGTCTAAAACAAATGGAGATAAATGACAACGTAAGAGTGTGTATAAACACTAGTGAAATAAACATGTTATAGCTGACTATGCAGTATGGGCATTGCTCTTTGTTGAAGGCGGAACGGTGACCTATAGTTGTTAATTTCTGTGTTTGGTCTCTTGTGGTGATTTGTCTCATAGCAATCGTACATGTCATACCACAACTTCTTTTGTATATTGTATAAATTATAAACCACATCATGACAGTAACCAAATTTATAAATGATCAATTTAAAAAGCTTAATAAAGACTTCATGATCTTGAAATGATGTGTCCCGTAAACATAAGCATTTTCTACTCTGTGCATGGTCATGTTTAACCGACACATTAACCAAATAGTAAGTCATTAAACAACAAGAAAGCAGTTTCTGTTTGTAAAAAAAATAAACACTTTGACTCTTCACATGCTATTTATTTTCTCCTGATCACATCTTTTTAATTTGATGACGATTTAAATCAAATTTGTATCCTGTAATTTGATCTGTCACTTTATACACTTTTCCAGCAGTAGACGCTGAAATTGAGTCTATGACCCCTTTCCTGAAATATCCTGTACTGAAAACTGCGGTGCCTTTGTTCATCGCAGGATTCGGTCTGTACATCACATTTTGTCCCTCTTCCGGATAGTAGGTAATGTCTTCCCTCAAACCATCGGAAAACTGCTCTAGTGGAAAAGCTGAAATTGTTTCCCGGTGAATTTGTTTATAAAAATCGGTGAGTCCAGTGTTAAATACCGGTAACTGTTTTTGATTTACATTCTACAAAAAAAAATAGTCTATAAGTATAAACAAAAAGTATATGTTGGCTGAGTGAAATCAAATCTAAATCATCTAGATAGATATACGAAGATGTGGTATGAGTGCCAATGAGGCAACTCTCCATCCAAGTCACAATTTGTAAAATTAAACTATTATAGGTTACAGTACGGTTTTTCACACCGAACAGCAAGCTATAAAGGGCCCCAAAAATGACTAGTGTAAAACCATCAAACGGGAAAGCCAACACGGTTTACTTATTTTTAGGTTAAAAAAATATATGCAAAGTGTAGCAGTTTTAAAATAAAGTTGATATACTAGTAATAACCGTACAAAGCAAACTAAAATTCAACTTTTACATTTTGCATTTGAATGGTTCAGCATTATTAAAAGTCTTATACATGTACATGTATACGTGCAGTCACAACACTTTTAAAGATTTCTATCAAATGCATCAAATTTTATGTTATATAGGACAATATTTTAAAAAGTACATCATACAGTTACAAACCTATTCTATACAACAGTATGTAAACAAAATTATTACATATTATGCTTACATAACGAGCAACAAACTACTAAGGCACAAAGTTTAAAATATAGGACATTTAAAGACAAATCCCAACAAAATCACATACCTGTGGATGAACTGGTACATTTTCTTTATTTTGCTCATTATAAAACTTTCTCTGATACATTTGTTTGTAGTATGGACTAACATTTTCCTACAAAAAAATAAACAGAATATTTCGTGTTATTTTGTGCACAATTTATCACTTAATATTTCACTGAACAAATAATACATTAATACACATGTAAAAATATTCGTCTAATCTGTAGGTTATACGGAAACTCATACAACAATAGGTTTTTCTATTTAAAAAAAAAGATATTTATGTATTGGTTAGGAACAAGTACGTACTCTTAAGATCTAATGTGTTGGTTTTCTTTCTTCTTCTTTTTTTTGGCGTGTGTTGAAAATTATAAACAAAGTAATGCACAAGGCTTAACATACTTACTTGCAAAATAACAGTTTGTGAAAATGATGGTTCGGGCACTACAAAATCATTTTCCTGGGTACAATCTGGAGGTAAATTGCCATGTTCTTCATTTACGCCATGGTCTGCAAAATAAAAACAAAAACTAATCAATTAATTTACAGTTAAATATAGCTAAGCATATGTTAAATTTGCATTTATTTTTATCACATGTAAAACAAGTAATTGTATTCATTTTTAGAATTAAATTTATAATTTAAATTTGTGTACTTTTATTAGTTTTAAATAATGATTGATTGTTTGTTGGTTGCTTAACGTCCAGTGGCAAATATTTCATGCATGTTCAGGACGATAGCTTTAAGTAAAAAGTTCATGCATATGTGTTTAAATCTTACCATGTAAAGTGAGTTCCTCTTCATTATGATTTGTACTGGCGAATTGGTTTCCACCTGAAGCCTCAGTTAAGGATGAGTGTAGCACATCAACAGATACTTCTGGGAGTTCTTCCTCTGACTCATTTTCATCAACATCTAATTCGGCGTGCTCTAAAAAGTCTCGTTCTTCTTTAGTAAGAGAAGCATAAGGTACCTATAAATACAAAGGTATGTTGAAAAGAAGATGCTCTTTTTATAATAAAAAATAATTTTCAATTTCTTTGGTGTGAAAAAAACCGTTGTTTTGTTGGTTTGTCTTTATTTCCTGACATTCGGCAAGTTATAATTTTTAAATAAATCTATAATGTAAAAATCTATCTCAACCGCAAGTTAAAAAACAAATACTGATATGAATAATAACCCTAATCAAATTTTTCTTAAGACACGTCTCAGGATAGCTTATTTACACAGACTAGACTGCATATTCTTACAACTTAAGTCACTAGACGGCACATTGTCACGGTAAGAGACTTAACATTGACACAGCCTACGGCTAAAAATAGTACATTTGCAAACTGAAGCGCTATAGTGCACATGACACATTCTATGGTACTTGAATGCACATTGACACAGCCAACAGCCCTAAACGGCACATTGACAGCCTACGGCCCTAGACGGCACATTGACATAGCCTACGGATCTAGACGGCTAATTGACACAGCATACTGCCGTAGCCAGCTTATTGACACATCCTACGGTCCTAGACGACTTATTGACACAGAATAGCTGTAACATAAAGTAAGAATACTACTATAAATGACCTAATTACTAAGATTTTTTTATAACACAAAGACTCAATTTTTAATTTCCGAAATAATAATTTAAATAAAATTAACGAAGTAAAGTAAATACCTGATCATCAAGCGGCACAGCAAAATTTGGTCGACTAAAAAATAGCTGATATGGAGTCTTTGGACGTGTGGCCTTGTTTAGCCTGTTGTTATATGCGTAATAAAATTCAGGAAGTTGATCGGACCAGTCTGAACGTTCTGACATTTTAATTCTAAAATACTCAGTCAGTGTGCGATTAAAACGTTCCACTCTGCCCTGACTTTGTGGGTGGTATGGTCTACCATGCATTTGGACTGTGTCAAATTGTATTACAACTTCTTTAAGATGCGAGTTCCGGAATTCTTTTCCATTGTCAGACTGTAGAATACGTGGAGCTCCATATAGATAAATGTAACTGAGTACAACTTTGCTTATTTCAGTAGCACTTTTAGTTTTACATGCTTGGCCAAATGCAAATCTTGAAAAACAATCAACGATATTACATATGTACTGATATCCTTTATGAGGTGGCATCTTTTTTAGGTCAATTTGCCATCTTGAATTTGGATAAGTTGCTGGTATTGGGCGTCTTGTTCTTTCTGTTTTTGGTAGAGATATAGCACTTTTACATTGTTCACAGTCCACGTAAAGATCAAATAAAAGCTTCACGTTTTCCCTTACGACTGGGAAAACAAATCTTCGAATAGATTCATAAATGCTGTGAGATTTTCTGTGATCTAATGCATGATTCTTTTTTACTAGATTAATTAAATCCTCCTTTGAAAGACATTTCCTATGAGGAGTAGCTAGGTCAACACTTTTTTTATACAAATGATTCGAAGTCAAATCATAAAAATAATTTTCCAAATATTTTCTAACCATTCTATCGTTCAACTGTTCATTGCAAAACTTGATTATTTTTGCGGATCCCCATTTTGGATTTTCTGCTTTTAATTTGCAAATGGACACTACCTTTGCATAGTCCCTCCAAAACGCTTCTGGATTAGGGTCCTTTGAAACTGGTTTCTTCTTTTCCTTTGCTAATACAAAACCTTCATCTGGAATGGTGTTCATGGGTTCCACCATCTTCAAATTCGGCGGCGGCGACGACGTCATATGGCGTTATTTGATTGTGACGTTATATGTAACTCTTTTTCCCGGAAAAATAGGCAATTTCAAAATCTGCCATAGATTTGGAGAAAACAAAAACTGCCATAGATTTGAGACGGCATTACGTCATATTTACCATAGATTAGGAATCCGCCATAGATTTGGAACCCGCCATAGATTTGAGTCCTACATATATGTTCCTGGTTTAACCTTGGGTCAATGGGAAAAACATGTCATTGGGCATTGTGACGTGAATATATTTATTTTTTTCCCTGGAAAATTCATAATTGGAAGATCCTGTAGTGTATCTATTCAATGAACCCTGTATACACCTTATCTCTATTTGTCCGCCATTACTGGACATCACAAAGATTCCTGTAAAATTTTGATGTTACAATAGAAAATTTCTGAAGTCACAAAGGTAATTTAGTGATTGTTGTATGATGTCGATAGTTTAAGTGTCGCTGCAGATCCTAGGGTCAAGTGGATAGTTTAAGTGTCGC